AAAAAAACTTTTACCTCAGCAACCTCTTTCTGGAAAGTCAAGGTCATCTGTACTCTGCCATAGGAAAATGGTCCAGAGTGGGAAGAGATGGCTTCCATCCATCTAATTATCAAGGGAGTAGAGACACTGAATGGAAGATTACCAATAATATGTACATCTGGTGGATCTAGAGACATGTAATAATAAACATATACCAATATGCCTTCTAGAAACCAAGTGCATTTATAACATCAATAGGTAAAAAGAATGTCATTCAAGATTGCTTCGATCTGCAGTCATCATTCTTACACTAAAATAATATTTTTTTCATAAATTTACTATTTTATTGATGATGAACTACCAAACACAATATCTGAATTAGCTGTCCCAATATAAATGCCTGACATTACCATCTTCCCAGGCTTTCCTGAGGTCATTGGGAAACATGTTCCTCATGTTATACTTCATTACATCACCATGAATTAAACCAAGTCGCCCGTCACTAGCTTCTGCTAATAACTGAAATACAATAATAACTGGTTTATTACAAGTGCAGAAACTTACTTGTTAAACATTAAATTCTCATTTTGTAGGTGCATGCCCCAATTGTCAATTTAAACCATTCAAGATTTGAGAATTCACATGCTAGGCATGTTTTAGCATTCAAGATTGAAACATTCAAATGCTAAGCCTTGCATTAACATTCAAGTATTTGAATAAAACTTAATTACTCAAGCATTCACATACTAAGCAGACATTGCAGATTTGATAAGCATTTGTAATACAAGACAGCTAACTTGTAGCTGTTGTTGAAATTGTTAATCTAGCATTCATGTTCATTAATGGTGTTTAGGGTGTTAATTAAATCACAATTAAGACAGTAACTTTGTAGTTGTTTATTTTGTATCTGCAGTGAGATTATTTTAGTATGTCTAATAAACTATTAATACAAAGAACTTTATCAGCATCTTCATCAGGCCAACCTAACTTCACAATATTTTAACCTTTTTATAAAAACTAAATGGCTTCATGCATGCCATCATCTGCCAACATTGAACAGAATCATTATATTCCAAAGAAACTAGCGAGTATACCATAAGCAAACCAAATGGTCGCTAGTCACCCATCATAAAAAAAGTATGACGTGCACCTGTAATCGTATATGCATCATCAAAGTTTGAATAAAACACCATCTCAATTCAACAAATTTGGATACATTTACAGACTGCTATCTCATGATTTTAGACAAAACAACCATCAATTCAACAAATTTGATTAAATCTTGTTGCAATTAGCAATAAGAAGACAATACTCTACACCATTGTGAGCTTTAAGTTACAGACAAGTGAGGAACAAAAAATAATTCTGTGAAAATTTGACTAATTTTTTAACCACTAAAGTTTCATAAAAATGCATATTTATATATATGCATATTTATTTATATGCATTTTATGCATATAATCAGGCTAACTTTTGAATAACATTTTTATTTATATATCATATAGGTCAATTTATAATCATTTTGCCAGGTGGAACCCATAATGACATAAATTACGCATGTAAAATACATTGTTTATATCAAATTAGAGCAAGTGATGCACAACTACCGCCCTTTCTTTTCTAGAATTATCAAAACCTACTTACTTCCAAACTAGGCATAAATCTTTGATCTTTTTCGATCACGATAACTTTCTTAGCACCAGAATGTAGTATCGACCTTGTAATACCACCTGGACCTGGACCAACTTCACAAACATACCTGCCGTTAAGAGACCCAGCATGTCGTACTATTTTGTCTAAATATAATGGTAAAAAACATACATTTAGATAAGGTCATGAAAACTAAATATTAAAGTTAAAATAAATAATTTTCTGCATTTTGATATTACATTAGTTTCATGGGTGATGCAATTTGAATAAAAATATTATTATATTATTATTAATTAGAATGTGGAAATCAATACATTTCTTGACAAATTTCCAAATTTATTTTATGTTACTGTATTACGTGTCTGAGTATTGTGTATATTCCATCCTATTCTATGTAAATTCATATTTCAAAAATATCTGAGAAAATTGATGTGTAACAATAGAGTGAAAAGAACATATTTATTGAGTAAATACTACATTGTAAGATAGAAACCTGTACTTTAAATGCATTTGTTAATAACTAATTAGTAAATATTAAATATCAGCTCTCAGCTTTCAATGTACAATTGTGATTGTTTCAGGAGCTTATCATTGTCTATATCATTCATAATGACTGCACATACCTTGTGCCTTTTGGATGTAACATGTAACAATATGTGGGCATGACGTAGTAACTGTGAGTGCCCACTTCTTCAAATAATGCTGATTAGATGACAGTGAACTCATTAATATTAATTTATACTCACTATGATATGAAAATACTGTCACTGGATATGTCAAATGAAATTCTAACAGCCAAATCTAAAGAAGATAATTTCATTGGCTTTAGACACCATTTGGTAATACACATTACCCATGAGGTTTTGCAAACGCGTTTATTAAACTAAGGTACAGGTTTCTGTCATGCAAATGAGAAGTAAAGGTGGTATTCATCTGCTTGTGAGTAGTCAAGTTGTTTCCATTTGAAATTTATGAAAATTTATAAATATTTTATATAAAACAAAAACATGTTTTCATGAAACTTGGTGTATTAACATTTTATGAACATTTCATAAATTCAAAATGGTGTAGAATTTCAATTGACCAATTCAACAATAGTATTCACATCATTTGCATGACATCATTAAGTTCATGAGCCAATCACATTTGAATTTGAATAAAAACTATAAAGAGCAAATACGTACAAATATTATTTTTAAAATGCGTTTAACGTGTCATGCAGTGTAGTATGCAAAAAAAAAAAAAAAAAAACATTTTAAACAAACATCTTTTAAAGCCCCCTCCCCATCCCTCAAATGGGGAACCCCTAATTCACTAAGTTCACTTTACCCGTCAGATTCATGTCAAGAAGAAAGTTCTGCGATAACTGTTTTTCTGCTCTTAGGCCATACATACGAATGATATCGCCTATTGTAGGTAGCGGGGGCAATCGTAGTTGTGGCATCGCTGTTACTTTCGACTGCTAAACAAGAATGGCAGAGTTATGTGCCGTTCTTCCGACATTCAAAACAAATGCACATGTTCCGAAATATTCACTATTTCCGGGTTGTGTGATGCATTGTGGGTGTAGCCGCGATATGAATCACGGGAGAAATTCCGCCATTTTCAGATTTTACCGAAGGTGGTGAAACACGAGTTTTATACAAAGCATCGAAATTTATCGATTCGGCTGGCCACCTCTTGTGTTTAAATATCTGAGTAGACCATCGTTGATTCACTCGTTGACCACACTGGATAGTTCACACAACAAATGCCAAAGAAAGACTGGATTCATGAAAAATTGACACAGTCTCCTTACCAATCAGCGGTGTCAACAATAGTCAGCTGAGAGTCGTCTTGATTCGGACCTTTCTGTCGACGTAAGACTGGAAATACATATTGGATATTGAACACTATTGGACCCCTTTATTCTGTTTCTGGCTATTGTGTCCATCCAAATTCATTGTTTTTACTTCTTTCGGTGTTAAAATGGGGTTATTGGATAAACTGGCTGCCTGGTTGGGGTTCAAAAAGAAAGAAGTACATGTACTATGTATGGTTTAGATAACAGCGGTAAAACTACGATAATAAACCAGTTAAAACCAAAAGACGTGAGTAAATCCGTTTATTATTGATTAATTGAAATACAGATTTTCTTCTTCAGTTCTTCTTTAATAATCTCGTAATTCCTGTTGTCATGACAACAGATCAAGTATTCCCTCACTTGTGTGTATGCGCTAAAGTTAATTACCAATAGATCTAGTTTGTAAAAACTTAATACAACTGAAGTGTTAGTAGATTAATGTTAATTTAATTAGCTGTGTTGAATCATTAAAATATAACTTACTTCACCCATAGAAACATACCTAAGATGTACATAAGAGCAATGGTAGAGGATATATAGTACATTTATGAATTTTTAAACACCATGGAGAAACAGCGAAATGGCTGTTAAAAACCACTCATAACAATTGCTAAACGTTTCATAAATGAGGGGTACACTTTAAGTGAAAACAAAATATCATATCAAATGTGCTCAAAACTCATACTAAAAATTAACCGTTATTGTTTTTTTTTACCTATTTTACAGTCACAATATGAAGATATAGTCCCCACCATTGGTTTTTCTGTAGAAAAATTTGCCTCTTCAGCGCTTTCTTTCACAGTGTTTGATATGTCTGGACAAGGAAGATATAGAAATCTATGGGAGCATTACTATAAGTAAGTTGTTTGATTTGTTACACCAATCACCACTCTTTTTGGTTGTATTTGGTTAATGGGTTATGCATACCGTTTTTTTTTGCACATTACAGTCGGTCAATAGAGCCAAAATGTTGATGTAACATTTTGGACATGAAACGTGACAAAATTTGTCTTGTCATTGAAAGGGTTAAAATTATTTTGATTTCAAACAGCTACTCGTTTCAAATGCATTCCTATTTCATTTGATCAGATTTAGTACAACAATTATTTACACCAGCCTTGAATTGTTTTTAGTTTTAAGTGCTTCATTTTGTTAACTGACCCAGAAATAGGAGTCAAATATTTGGTATACCGGTACATGTATTTTATTTGCAATCTTTCTTCTTTAATTTTCCAGAGATGCACAAGCTGTAATTTTTGTAGTTGATAGTAGTGATAAACTTCGAATGGTAGTAGCAAAAGATGAGATGGACCAGTTACTTTCACATTCAGGTTAGTGTTCTGTGATTCCAAACAAATTATGTTATTTACATGTACCTGAGCTTCCACTAATCCTTCAACTGTCTCTAATGGCAAATTATTTTGAATTTGGCAACAACAAATTGTCAGTTTCTCCATCAATGCCAAATAACAAACCATGAATTATTCTGAGAAAATCATAACATTATTTTATATGGTGGTGGTCGTCTTGCCGTGCATATGTGATATTTATGTTGAAAAACATTGATTTTCCTACAATCCAGTGCTCTCTTCTAATGAAATCCTGAGTATGAGTTTAGACCTGGGCGCAACATGCACTACCAATAATTACTGCTGTTGACTCATTCAGTACCTTCCAGTCACCAAAGAAACTACTTAATTAAAGCTTGGATGATACTGCGACTCAAAGTCGTCATCTTTGTTTATATGAGACCCTTATCTTCACTTGCACTTGCTTTGTGCGATGACCACCACCTTTAAAATCATTATGATATCACTTTCAGAAAAGTAAATTATATAATGAAAAAAAAAATGCAGTCTGTGCTGCATGATAAGTTGCATATTTGAAAAATATTGCAATCTTTCATCTCGCCTGAATCGTTTAGCAACCATGTTACGCATCAGCTGGGGTGTCCTGCTATACTGTAAGAACCAGCATTTGCTTCATTGGCATTCATAATGTCTAGCTCTACTTATATTTGAGACACTGTGTGCAGTAAAACAAGATATATCAAGCAGTCATCAGGCAGGAAAATTTATCATTGTTTTTTTTTTTTCAACAGATATTAAAAATCGGCGGTTGCCTTTCCTATTCTTTGCAAACAAAATGGATCTTCGTGAGGCATTGTCATCTGTGAAAGTGTCCAGTATGATGGGTCTAGAAAACTTACAGAATAAACCATGGCATATATGTGCTAGTAATGCCTTGACTGGTGAAGGTCTACATGAAGGAGTAGAGTGGCTTACAGGTAAATATTATTATGACATGTCAACCTACAGGCCTTCAGTACTCTGAAAGGCTACATGTAGGAATGATTGAAATTGCGGAGAGAATACAGTACGGCCTTCCTACAACCTGTCGGTGTGTATGCATTAGCACCACGCTTTGAACGCAATATGGTCTCACACTATCGATTTTGCGATGCCAATTGATTGAATGCATTTTTCACACATTATACATATACATGGTATATTTTCGTCACACATTATACAACCACAGTAGTGACATGAAGTTACTCAGTGAAAACACAAACACCACCCTTTTCTGTCTGAAAATGGTTTTAATTGAATCAAATGCAATATAAATGAGTGATGCAAATATGTGTGGCAGGTTGGTTGAAAGCTGTAGATTATTTGACGATTCCACATCAATGCATATATGGTAGGGCATCTATGCAATCACCTCCACTGCGTCCATGAATTTTTAGCTGTGCACTCAAGATGTTATTTCATGACACATAGAAACATGCATTTTTCACCTTGAGTATCCATGGGTTATAAATACACCTTGTACCATGGCTGTGCTGTTTCCACCAATCATAAAGCAGGACTCGTGATCTGTATTCTCTGTATAGATTCATCAGTAGTGACGATAAATTGTCATTTGCTTGGGAAAACAACACTTTGTGTACAAGGGCATTGTATATTCCCTTCACTACGAGCTACCTTGCATTGATTATTTTCGTCTTGCACATGTTTGTTTGCCGATGTAATGCATAAAATGTTTCCTGGACTAGTTTTCTTTTGCATCCATTGCTCAATACTCTGATTGAGACTAAATTGAGAAAATTATTGCTACCTATTGCCATGTTAGAAGTTGATTATAAAATGAAACTCCATTTATACATAGTGTTGAGCGTAAGTTTACACAGTTTCTGTGAAACTTTGTGTCGAGCAGAAGAAAAAAAAGTATCTCTTCACTATTCTTCAGTGACAACATCTGTCAACTCAGTAACACACTTCATTTTTTTTCTTTTCAGATCAAATTCGTTCTAATCAGAAGCGATAAACACAAGTCATCATCTTAAAGTTTTACCATCCAACAAAACAAAGCCTGTGAACTGGACATACTCATCAGCAGCAACCTCCAAGCCCACCTCAAGTTCTGTAACTACTTAGCTGTCTTCTGAATTGCTGCACAAGAAAAGACAAACATGTGATGTTTTCTATATTCAGAATATGTTCTTATCACTTAAAAGGACTTGTGGTTTCCCCATAGCCGTCCATCATGTTTTCTCACCCGTAAATGTTTCATATTCTGAGTTTCTGAGATTTGATTGATTGGCAATGCATTCTAAATACTGTAAATTGTTTTTTATTTCTCTTATTTACAAATAACACAAGTCAGGAAAAATTCAAAAATTCTGTAAATGAGAAGATTTCACTGGGGTTTCTTAAACAGTGAAGTCATGGCTGCTGTCGTGTAGTTGTGTCTTTTGAAAGCGTGATAATGGTCAATGAACAAAAGTGTCTAGATTTAAAAATGTAACAGTGTGCACTGCAACACATGTCTGTAATCCACTGTAATTTTCAGTCATTGCATATGCTACATTTTATTAGCAGGCAGAACTAATGATTTTACTGTTTCGTTGGTGGGTGTGAGAAGAATGATGTTCATCCACTAGTGTTTGTTTACTTGTTGATATTGATAATAATTTCATGCTTTGGTGAACTCAAATTTGACATTAAATGTGCATCACTGAGATAAACTGAGAACACAGGATCAATATCATAAGTAAAATATTTCCAATTAACACTTACAATGGGCATTTTTTCTAATATTCTGTTTTGGAAATTTTGTGTGTAAATTATCTATATATACGTATTTTTGTCTGAAAATTCTATTTTTGCCTGTTTTTATAGCTAATTTGGATGGCTAATTTAGTAATGAATCAGTTTGGCACTGCAATAGATGTGAATACTGTGCCATTCATAGTAATAGAATAATATTCTTATCTCAGTTGTGAATCATATCTTAATAATCTAGTGTATAAACATTTTGAAAGATATTTCTTGTTTATGTTGTTCATTCTATTCAAGCATCACGGGTCCATAACTATTATGATTGACTGTACATGTATAAAATGGAAAATGACTTACAAATTACAAGGATAGGTGTCAGAGATGATGTCATAATAATTATGTACTTTCTATTTATGTTTTATGTTTTTATTATCTCAATACTGTTGAAACAAGAGAGAGAGAGCGATTGAGAGAAACCAAACATTACTATTGCTTCTAAGTGCAAAATAGTGTTACTGTTTCTTGTTTAGGGTTGCTTGTTGGCATCCGTGCCAAAGGGTACTGCATTGTTTTTATGTGTGTCGACTCCAGCTGACACTTTGCACAGTAATTCATATGAAGGCATACAATTAGACTAAGATGAGATAAAACACAGTGGTTAATAACTAAACACAACACAAAACAAAAAAAAGTATTGATAACTTGCATATTTCAAAGACATGAAATGTACACTGTATTATATCCTTGGTTGTAAAAGACAACTGTTGTGCACATATCCAACTTGACTACTGTAACCTCACCAACTTCCACAAATAATCATTAATACAGTGAATTTCATAAAGACATGAATGTTTTTATGAAATATTGAAAAAAAACATGAAAGACAATAGAAGCCGTTTGGTAATTACCCATGAGTCTTTGCATGTTTCGTTCAATTATTGGTTGATTTACTGCCATGCATTCAAAGTTGTTTTCAACATTAGAAAATCCCATTGATTATTTTTTTTTAAAAACATACATGTCATCATGAAAAGTCACTGTATAAGTATTGTTATAATTTATTCAAATGGTATCCATTGTTTGTCTAACATTTCCTGAACTCAATTCAAGTTAGCTTCACATTCACAACTTTCTGAATGCATTGAATTGCAATACCAATAGTATTGGCAATATGAATCAATGATTTGTTATTTTCAATTGACTGTATCTATATGTATGACTGATGTTGAATCTCTTCAGTTGCCAGTTAATGTACTTTCCCTTGCTTTGACCTCAGACTACTATGATGTCTGTCATTGTGCATATCATTTCACTTCACATATTTTGGACAGCTCTGATAATGTAAAGCTGTGTATGAAAAATAAAATATAATAATATAAACCTAAACTTATTGTGTATCATAAAGATATTGATTCCAACCCATTTTGTGTTCACTGGCAGCAAGTTGGTTGCTTTGTCAAGTGAATGTGTTTGGAATACCTGTATAATAAATAATAGTGCAACACTAAGACCCCTTCTTAGCACAAGGATGTAACTTGGGAGAACTGAGATGCGATACTAACCTCAAACCACCATGCTGCTGTGATTCTTTAATGTCACTGACTTGATTGAGGATGAGGTGTCATTCAAACATATAGTGAAGGGCACTACACCTAACTGGATGGCCTTAGGCTAGATGTGCTTTATGTGCATGAATTACCGTACATACCATTCAAACTTGTATGTTTCTTTTATTTGAGATATGGGTGTATCTCTGTCCATGGATCTAAAACACTGAACTCATCTAGTGTCAATTGGCGGATCATTCTTAAAAAAAAAAATTAAAAACGTCATATCTATGATGAACTCACTGTCACAAAATATGCTGTACGTTCCTACAAACTAATTTTTACACCCATAAATTGTATTTGCGTGTATTTGTTATTTTAGATTGTTAAAGGGGAGTGGTCGTCGCACCACTCATGTGCAAGATATGAATCTCATATGAACAAAGATGATGACTTTGACCAATAAGTATGAACCAAGACTTTACCAAGACTTAGCTGTTACTAGGAACATTGGTGATTGGAAGGTATCAAAGGGGCCATCAATGGCATTTAGTGCACGTTGCACCCAGGTCAAAACTCCTACTTTGTGATTCCATTAGAAGAGCACATTAAATTGTGGGGAAAAAATGTTTATCAACACATATGTCGCTCATGCGTGGCGCAACGACCACCGCCCTTTAATAGTTCGATGATGGTGATGATAATTCAATAATATTTACCCTGTACAGAATCATAGTCCCTGTGTACAGATAGGACTCACCGAGTTGTGAGCCAAAACTGGTGTGAGATGCCAAGTATTTTGTTTTCGTTGTTGCATGCTCTGCAATAAAAACAAAAGCAGTAAGCAATCTCGTCGTAGGGAGATCTGAATTACTGTAAAATGACTAATTTTCACTGGGTTTAAATTTCACTGATTTACCATTTCAGGCATATTCAGTGGGTTTTAAATTCACGGTTTTATCATTTAGATAATGTGTTCTATGCTAAATTTTACATATTCACTGTGTTTTAATTTAGCGCATTTTTCCAGTCAGCGAAATAAACTAAATTAAAACCCAGTGAATAATTAACCCCTTTACAGTACTTGTGTTTCACTTAGATAATATGGCGGCAGTATGTCATGCCTTTGCAGCCCAAGATGGCGTCACTTGAAGAATATTTTTAAGGCAAACTAGCAATGTAGTTATACAGTGTTTTAGCAGGACACAACTAGAGAGTGGGCAATTATGGATAAGACACATATGTTTGAGTGTAAATGACGATGTACATATGCCATTGAACGGTTCAAAGTTGGTTGTGAGCTGTATGGACAGAACAACTTGTTTCTGCAGTGTTGAAATTTTGATTCTAGACTGAGGAGTTTTAGTTTTAAATTGTATTTTAGAGAATTTAGGTTCGAGATAATTTGAAAAAAACAATGAGTTTCAGATTGATCAAAGTTTATAACGATTATTTGACCCAAGTTGTGATCACAATACAAGTATTTCTGTTATTTTTAATGGTGTGTCCAGATTCCTGTAGTCTCGTGCAGTTTTCTCCGGCTTATTTTTTTCCTAGCGACCTCAACCGATTACCAAACGTAACGTTAAAAGTAACGTCGGTTTGGACCACATTAGTTAAACACTAGTACCTTATGAATAGTTGAAATACCTGCAGTAGTACGCCACCTAAACGTGATTGGTTGTAGGCATGCTTTGATGGTGGGTGATTTTGTTACGCCGTACGACCCCCCCCCCCCAATCATGCTGAAAATAGTTGTGTTGCCAAAATTCCCCCCTCAAAATGCAAGAAATGCCGTTTCAGAGGGCCTAGATTTCAATTTTTCAGGGGAGCACGTCCCAGAACCCCTCTAGTAAGGATGGTGAGCAGATCCTCCCATGCAACATTTCGTCCCATCGCCTCCGTGACTCAATTCAATTATTCAAATTTGTAATCTGTTGAACAAAGGGACAAAAGTTAACTCTGAGTTTCAAAGGCTCTATGAGATTCTTGTTTATTTTCATTTTTAAGACAGACTAGTGCAGTGCCCAGATCATCAAAATGAAAGTTAATCTTTGACATGTACAACGCCCTCTCAAGTTTTAAAGGCGAAAATGTGGGAAGAATTTGTTTTTCGACACATGACATTTCCGTACTTGCATGTTTCATCCTGAGAAACAAAACTAAGTTATGTTTCACAGTCCGCGTTTTTTTTTTACAGAGGGCATCCACGGCATTTTAATATTAGAAATATGTGCCTCTCATTATTATACAGTGCCCCCTCCCCGTAAAATAGCATAGATCACCTCTCTTAATTACCTCTATTGAATTCACGTTGTGCTGAATTGCCTTCATTGTTTAGCCCAATTAAACAGTTGGGAACCCATAATGCCCTGGGAAAACCCCTGTCAGATAGATCTTATGGGTACATTCATCTTGTAGTCAACTCAACAAAAATACTGAGAATTTATAGAAATGTCGTTGTATTGTCTTCTGACCCTAGATAGAATTTGCGAATGTTTGTTAAATGTTACGATTATGTTTAAGACCTTAAAATGCTCATTCTATGGTATATGGATCACCATACTATCTTTGTGGTCATTAAATTTATCGCAGTTAAGTAAACGATCACATTAACATCGAGATGCTAAAGCGGATATTTGATAAACTGGCAGACATTGCTATTTGCTCAATGTGTGTCAGTTTCTGTGGTCAGTGCTTAGAATGTGTGCATGCACAGTTCCTCTAGACAATAGGCGTTTCGATACCGGTGATAGGGGGACTGTGGTGCATGCTAGAGCTGGTTGTTTGTTGTATCTTATCAGTCCCACTTGATTGAAGTATAGTTTATTTGTAAACATAGGTATAGGACCGTAATGTTTGTCAATGGATTACAGTCTTTATGAATAACAATGGGTTATCAAGTTTATGAGCAGAGTGCATTAGTTTTTTCTCAAATTTGAACAATTGTGTACAAATCAAGTGTTTTAACGACTTGTTTAATTTGTTCTGCATTGTCAATCGAAAATAAGTTTTAGCATAAACCATAGTGTATTATGTAGCAGTAACACAACAAACACGTCGTGTTTAGTTTAGTTGCTATGTTTTCTCGACTCTGAACAACACAAAGTCTTCTATTTTGCCTCCTCGCCGGGCTCCCCATTTCACCTCCGGACTAACGAATATCAGCGGCCCTCTAAACTCCCAGTCAAATATATCGATACGTTTGTAAAATGTTCACAGGCTTGTAATAACAGTGCTTTGTGACTAAATACTGGCTCATGGACTTAGCAGTAAACCGGGAAACACTTCCCTGTATATTGTTATAAAGGGCTTCTTGAAAACTCTGGACACAAGTCTGACAAGTTCAAGGACTTATTAAGAATCGGTGTATCAAAAGGTAGCAATGGTCCCGTAAAAATAATTAAATACCGAAGGAGAACATGGTCTTATTTTGCATTGCATTCTCATATTGGGATATTTGCACTCTCTCAAGAAACAACTGGCCAATCGCCGAAGACGTTGTGATTGCAACAAACCAATCAGGACGATTGTTCTATCTTGCCTCTGAGGGCGGTTAGCGAGCAAAATGGCCCCGACACTTGTTGTTCTGACTGGTTAGAAGAGGTGAGTAGTATTTAACCATTTCGTTGAGATCGGTAGTTGTTACATCGAAGTAATATTTGATGCGATAAGTAAGGGAATAGTAGAGATGTGCTCATATGATCTGTTATAGATGAGATGATAGAAAGTATCTTTTTGTTGATGGTGTATCCAGTTGTGGGTCGCTGAGCTCGATCGATAGGCGATGGTTCCACTGTACCGGTGGTGTATTATAAATCAACTCATTCACGCCGCACCGTTCGACCTGTCAGTCCTTAGTGCGGTGTGATTCCCGCGTTTAGCCACACATAAATTTATTCGTTTTACCTAGAGTTGTTTGCTGTAAACAAGTCTGTTTGCACGGAATGCAAACTTTGCCACGATGCAGTAACAAATGACTTTTATTTTAGCGGTTACGGGTTAGTGTAAAATCGAATCACTGGTTATACTGGATATATACCATTGAAATGCAGCCACGTTGAACGGGTCGATTTTGAATACAATCTACTCTTAAATAAGTGTCCTTGTAAAATTTTCTTGCTGAAAATCTCCATCCTAAAATTGATTTTGTTCAGTTTGTTATGTTAGCACCTTGCTTTCTCCATTGTTTAGCCACTGAGTTACGCATCAGCTGGGGCGTCTTGCAGTGTAACATGCCCTCGATGAAAGGGACTGTGATAGTGTGCGAGAAAGGTACCAGCGTTCGTTTCAATGGCGTCACTATATTCAGCTGCACTTACATTTGTACACTACATCCATTAAAATAAATAGCAAATATCCAGCAGTTGCTCATTGTTCTATTGCACACAATAAAATTTGAAAATTAACATTTTTATTTTATTAATAATTAGGGTTTCAACTCATTCACTTTAATTATCACTCTTGATAATTACATTAAGCAAAAACATTAACATTGTTTTGATAATAATTAATTAATTAAGTGTATAGTGGTAGAGGATATATTGAAATTTTGGTTTGATTACAAATCTTCGTGAGGTTTTTTAGCTTGTGTTGACTTTTGTATATTGCTTAGTGTGCAGAATACAAAATGCACATGTGCTTCTTGTTCTCCGGTAACCATGCCAGAATTAGGGCTTGACTACTAGAAACTCTGGGAAGGGAAAAGTTAGATGAAATCTGAATTATTTTGTACTTTCACTTACCTTTGAGCTTGAATTTAATTTGGGAAGATTTACATATGTTTATATAAAAGTGTCATTTTTGTTGTTGATTTTAGGCAATAATGTTTATTTT